CCCTCTGACCCTCCCCCCTCTCATGTGCTCTCTCTCTCTCTCTCATTCTCTCTGTCTCAAATAAATAAATAAAATCTTTAAAAAAAAAAAAAAAAACAGCAGGTGATAAATAAACCTCTTGATTGACAAATGAAATACACTCCTGACTTGAACTCATAAGGCTCTTATTTATTAAATATTAGATGGGCATTATGTATCTGGTCAGATACTGTATCATACTGAATTTTTTTAGTAAGCATTTAAATCAATAAAAACTATTCTCAGGACAGATTGTTTTTCCAGAAAGGTAGCTTAATTTAGGAACAGTCCATTTGTTTCTAGAAAGATCTCAGGAAAATAGTTTAAAGGTCATGGTGCGTGTTCACTATTTCTTAGTAATATCTGTTGAGGCTTCTCTATTAGAATGGGTAATCTTGAGCTTTATATCATTAATGTGTATTCTTTACATATTAATAAGATTAAAAATTATTTGACCCAATCTGAGATTAATAGTTTTTCTGTATCAGACATTAGAAGACAAAGTTATATTTAAGAAACAGTGGCACAGATTCAATTAGCTATATTTGGGCAGGCAGCGTGACCCAGTGTTAAATCAACTCCCATTTTATAAATTGTGTAAAGTGTCACATCTCCTGATAAACTGGAGAAGAGCTGTCAGCAGATGGGGATTTTAGAATGCCTTATTATCAAAGAAGAAGGTGATTTGTAAGGGAATTAATTTTATCTCCCTTATTAATTGGTGGTGATTTTTGGAGAATAAGTTTGGTTATTAAAAGAAATTGGCACTTAAAAGAGGCCGAGTCTGTCTTTTCCATAGAAGATCTGTTGTCTTAGGATTTTTAGAATCAGTTTTATGCTTACTGACTTTGTAAATTTTAAAAATGAATGCGATCTTATTAGGAATCATCTCTTAGATAAATAATGCCCCAAAAAAGGGAAAGAAAGTAAAACTCAGGTGCTGTTCCACATGTATATTAACTCATTTAATCCACAACACCCCTCAGAGACTTAGGTATTTCTGTTATTCCTCTTTTCTATGTGAGACACCCAAGGCCATAGGTCGAGTAAGCGGCCAAGGTCACGGATCCAGAGCGTGGGCGGAGAGCTAGAATCATACGCCGGCTGTTGGCTCTGGGGCTGTCACTCTTACACATTTTGCAGTATGCCACCTGTTCCCTTCCTCAGCTCTTTTTTGAGATTTGTTCTTCTAATCTTTATCTAATTTTTATTTTTGATGTTGTCAATTTAAAAGTATAAAATACATAGCACAGAAACCACATTCCATGGACACTGCTCTGTTGTTTCAACCAATTTTCATCCAGCGCATGAGGAATGGTGGTGTTTGGTATTCTGGAGCACCTCACTTCATATAAAGTATACAGATGGAACAAACTTGGTAGTATAAATTCTTAAAAGATACATGGGAAATGGGCTAAAGCTTACCAGTTTTTGATTTAATGTAAAGTCTGAAGAAATGAACAGTGAATTCCTTTTAAATATCTCAGGGACACTATACTAGATTCCTATCGATGATAGCATTTTATAATGCAAACCTTTATAAATAAGCTGTTTCTTAAGTAGCTGTGGGAGAAGAGACTTTCTGTTAGGATAGCAGTAACCACCTTGATCTGTGCGAGAGGTGGGAGGGGGCAGTTTTGAGAGCTTTCCAGCAGAGAACATTCAAGAGATGATGATTACTAGTCTTTCTGAAGAATATCTTAAACGTAAAATGAAAGGCCTCCCTTCTGATGTCATCAAATGATTCACCTGAAGCTGAGGAGAGACCTAAACACAGGCTTTTGCAGAGAAGGACAGATTAAGATTATACCTTAATCTTAGTGCTATCTCCTTTTCTGCATTCTGAATTAATCTGGAATCCTCAATGGCTTTCATTTCCTTTTTATTTTTTATATTCTTTATTTTTATTTTTTTAAAGATTTTATTTATTTGACAGAGGGAGACACAGTGAGAGAAGGAACACAAGCAAGAGGAGTGAGAGAGGGAGAAGTAGGCCTCCCGCTGAGCAGGGAGCCTGATGCGGGGCTCAGTCCCAGGACTCTGGGATCATGACCTGAGCCAAAGGCAGACGCTAAATGACTAAGCCACCCAGGCGCCCCTCATTTCCTTTTTAAAAATGACTAATTTTAAATCAGGACTTCTAGCTTTAGTGTGTAAATGACAAATTTCTTGCACCTGGACTGTGTAGCCCCTGGGAATTTCATACTTGGAGGTATTTCCAATTTGGAAAGCCATTTTGCTTCTTCCTCCTATGCCATATACCTTCATTTTCAGCTAGTATTTGCAGTTTTGCTTTTGGTCTTTGGTTTCAAATCTAAAAAAAATACATATTTTATATAAGCCTAAATATTCTTAAGCATTTAAAAAACCGAATAATACAAATTGCTTTTAACAGTTGTCTTTAGAGTATGACTTGAGGGCTTTGTTGGAACCTTTCTTCACTGAAGCATTATTGTGTGCATACAGAGCTGTTGTGCTAGTCCTGAAGTCATTGGATGAGGAATCTCCAGGGTGTTCCTTAGACTTGAGCTTTGCAGGGGGGAGAAAGTTAATTACCATTCCTTAGTGCATTATTTGTATTTACTCAAGTAATAATGCATTATTTGTGTTTATGGTTTCCTAAGGAATGGTAATTAACTCTATATAATTGGATTCATTAAGATTAATATAGAATTTAAGAAAAGTTTGTCTGGCTCTATAACCATTCTTAAATTGACCATCACGTAAGTGATTACGACTTTCTGTGAAATCTGATTTGAAATATGGTCACATTGACAGACATCTTATTTTGAAGGAACACTTAAGTGATCTTATCTTTCCCCATATAAAAATAGTTGGATTCTGAAGTGCTTAAGGTTATTTCCTTTGTGATCTATGACTTGTTCATGTGTAGATGATGACACAAAAAGAAATACTGTAAGAGTGGAAGGAACCCTTAACATGCATTAGCATATCTTTTGTTTTATAAACATAGAACCAACTGAATGACTGTGCTTGACATCTCTCATCCCCCCCCTCTTTAGACCAAAGAGAGTCTACAATATGCATTAGAAACCCTGACTATGAATGGCTGCTCAGTTGAAGATCTAGGATTGGATTTCACTCTGCCAGGGTTTCCCAACATTGAACTGAAAAAAGGAGGAAAGGATATACCAGTCACCATCCACAATTTAGAGGAGTATCTAAGAGTACGTAATTGCGGCGCCCTTCGGGGAGAAGGCCAGTGCGGGGCCGCGGGGCTTCCTGTTGGCCCTGTTCTGGGGGAGAGGGAGAGCGCCTGTCCAGGGAAGCGGTCTCTCCCACCCAGCTGAGACCCTTGGCACCCAGGATCACTTCATCACATCCATTTCTTCAGGCCTTAGCTTCCGTCTGCACTTGAGAGAATGCGGCCGAGAGTTCAGGAGGCCTCATCATGACCTCAGATTTGCTCTCTTCAAGCTTGAATAACTAATAACATCACATTGTCTTCATTTAAAAGAAATCAGTGAAAAGGAGCCATCACTTGTGTTCTTGCTAAACTGCATTTTGTCTTTCTATCAAAGTAGCTAACGTGATAGAATTCACACACAAGTTTTTTATGGGGGTAGCAAAGACTTTGAGATAATTCATGGTTCTTGACTATATTTGCTAGGGAAAACTATTTTGTATTGAAAAGAAATTCTATTTTAAGTTATAACCTATATAGACTTTATTACTACTTTTTGAAAAGTTTTCTTTTGGTTTATTTCTGACCTAAGTGGGAAGAGCACTGGGCTCAAGATAGGATATCATCTACACCCAGACTTGGGTTTTCCAGCAACCTACAGTGGGATTTTAGATAGAACCTCTGAAAAATGTTGGCTCTGGTTTCCTCATCTGGTAGAGAAAGAGAGTAGAGGTCTTCAGGTATTAATTTAGTGTCACCAACAGTTCTGTGACTGATACCTACTCCCTTTAATATTCAGAGGACTGTCTGCTCATACTACCTGCTTCTTTTCCTCACTTTGAGAAAGCTGACATTTTAGCCTACTGGTAAATGATGAGTTAACATCCACATTAAGGTTCTCTGAAAATAATTTGTAATAATGCTTGTGTTTTTGTTTCCATTTCTATCTGAATATGTCCTGTACTTCCTGAATCCAGTGGGTTAGCCAGAGTCACTGATGACTAGATAATGTTGGACCAATAACAGATGCTTTCTGTTACTTTGCAATTTCACATGACTGCATTTCCACAGTTGGCCTTTCTCTAAGTGAAGGTGCACAGCAGAGGAGTTGGCTTCTAAGAACTTATTCAGGATTTAGATCTAAAATTTTCACATTAAGAATTCAAAACACTTAATAGTTGGTAATTGTGAATCTTGAAACATTAGCTTTACTTCTTAACATTTTGTCCTCTTGGGAAACTCTAATCTGCTTCTCATCTGGTAAGGTACTATTCTGTGCCATCGGGATTTTACATAAATGAATTTTAAAAATACACTAAATATAAATGCTCATGGGTTGTTTTGTTTGTTTGTTGTTGTTTTACATTTTCTTAGTGGCCAGGCCCCAGGTAGAAGTTGATGGGAGTGATCTTTTATGCAGTTTTCTGAGAGGTATTTTAGAGACTTAATAACTTGTGTTTTGTTTTTTCTTTTTCATTCTTTTAAGTGATCAGGAAGTATATTTCACTGTACTTTGCCACATACTAAATAGGAAAGAGAAATGAAATCTTGTCACAGTTTCTAAAAGACCTTTCTTTTTGCAGCTGGTTATATTCTGGGCACTAAACGAAGGCGTTTCCAGGCAATTCGATTCCTTCAGAGATGGATTTGAATCCGTCTTCCCACTTAGTCATCTTCAGTACTTCTACCCGGAAGAAGTGAGTAGCTTATGTCTAAAAGAAGGAAATGCGCATTGCTGCATTGCTCCATGTGTATCTGTAGTTGTCTTAGTGGGCTGTCTCTCTGCCATCTAGCTAAAGATTGTTGCAGACAACAAAAACCAAGTGGGGGGTGGGTGGTAGGGGTGGTGGGATGGGGGTTGTGGGAGGTTTGGGAAAGATCATTTCCTGAACAAAGAAGAGTATTAAATACAAAGTATAATATAATATAAATGTAAAACTTTATATTACATAAATACTAAATATAACAACTATTAGGGAGTGGCATCTGTGTGTGAATGGTGAGCACATAGCCTCGTTGTCACTTGACCCTGGGTGCTGCCCGGGGTGGGGGGAATGGGATGCAGGTGTCTGCGGGACTGTGGCTGGCCAGGAGGACCCTGAGTCCACAGTAGTGAAAGTGACACAGAGGAGGGTGCACTTTTTCTTTTTTTAATCTAAACTTTCTGGATTAGGTGAGACATTGCTTTATGATTGGAGTCAGTCCTTGAAGTTTTAAGGAAGTGTTGCAAGTACTGTTGAGAAAGGAGGACATGAGCATATGTGCAGTTTTCCAGCCTTCTTAAGTGCAACAAGAGTCTGAAAAACCACTCGCTAGTGATGAGATGGCATAGAAAGGAGCGACAGTTTGGAATCCCTTGTGTTTATTGTTGGAGTGGAAACTTTAGAATACACCCCTATTACCGGCTGAATCCAGCTATCTTTGAATGACTTGGCATTGTAATCTCCTTTACGATTTTTATGTCCACTCTGATTTGCTACTTACTGAAGCAGGTAGTGTACCTGACACTTTGAGGCTCTGAGTGTGGCCTGGAATTGAAAGCAGCAAGTGTTGCTCCTGGAATTGAATTTTGGTCCCCACCGCTTAACCGTATGACCTTATCTAGGTCATCGTATCTGATCTGCCTGCCTCATCCGTAAATTGCGATAACCTCCATCTTACTGAACAGGGTGCATAAAAATAAAGTACCTGACAGTTGGTGACATATAGTAGATACTAAATTTTATATGCCCTGAATTGGATTTTCTCAAGGTACGCAGTCATTCCGCAGATGGACAGTTAACCAGAGAAAAGATGGTTTAATTTGAAACTGATGCTAGATTTTCCAAGGAGACACGAGCACTTCTTTGCTTTCTAATGTGCCCCCTGTGATGGCTCGCTTGGTCCCCTTGCCTCCCTAGCCACCATCTGGCAACCCTCTGCCTCGCTTTACAAAGTGAGCAAGCTGCCCATTTGCTGCATCTCCTTTCTGCTTGCTTCTCCCACTTCTCTCTCCAGCTCAGTAGTCTGGGTCTTGGCTTCCGTTACTGTATACCCTTGTGTTTCTAGGAAACAGGATTTATGATCTGTGCCTGGTTAGAAGTAGATTATCAAGTGAAAGCCTGTAAAGGCATGAGAAGAGTTAGGAAAACTTAAACCAAGGGTTTGTCTCAGGTAAGTTTTGTTGGCGATAAAAGGTTTCTCTAGGACCCAGTCCCTGCAGATGGGCAGGGTACCTGTTAATGCAGCTGAAGAGGAGATGGATTTTATAAATACAGTAGAAGAGCACATTGTATAAAAAGAGGTCCTAGGCAGAACTTTCTGATGCTGAAAATGATATTTTTATTTGGCACATGTAGACCTATATTATATTGGCATACTGCAAAACAACATGTCCTGTGAGTTTTCACTCAGTTATGCAGCTATGTCTGTAGTAATTTGTTACCGTTGTGTAAACACACAGCTGGATCAGCTCTTGTGTGGCAGTAAAGCAGACACTTGGGATGCAAAGACGCTGATGGAATGCTGCAGGCCAGATCATGGTTATACTCATGACAGGTAAGTAGTGGGATCCTCTGGTTTTTTGTCTTACGGTCAAGAATTTGGTGGTGTGTGTGTGTGTGTGTGTGTGTATGTATACACATTATAAACATTTTCAAAT